ATACAACTGTTGAGAGACTCCACTGTAAAGACTTAAATAAAAATACCCACATTTCAAAGAACGAAGATTGATACCACATCAACTAATCCTTCACTTATTTCTGTATTCAAAGCAACAAGGCATGCTCTAGTAGAAATGCTGTAGCAGCAGAAACACGATCACCTACACCCTCACCCTGTCTCTGGCAGAGCAGGTATTTCACAGACGTTTTCACACTGAACCTAATAACGGTGACCTCCAAAGCCCTCAACACATGCAGGAACGACCCGGCCCTCATCCAAGCGCATTCAGAGGATGAGGGGAGAGGGTATCAAAGCGGGGCGGCAGAGCTCAGCCTCGGAGCCCGGCTCCGCAGCCTCTGCGCGCACAAAGCTCCCGCTCCCAGGGACCCGCGCGGCACCGAAGCGGCCGCAGAGGAGAGCCCGAGGTGGGGAAGGGCACCAGCAGCGGGAGGGCTCTCCTCTCCTGCCAGACCAGCAGCATCAGTCCACGCTCTGCCCCTGCCACGGACTGACGTGCTTTCCAGCATGGAGGACTCGGGCAGCAGCAGACTCTGAGCTCTCCCTTCAGAGGGCTTTCTCCAGGGAAAGGAGCAGATCTAATTACTCCTCATACGGCGGGGGTTGCGAGCGCAGCAACCCCGAGTCCCCCTTCGCCATCTGCTCCTCAAGCCGAGAGCAGCAGCAGCCCCCAGAGCAGCTGCACGGCTGCCTGCTCTCCCCCAGGTGCAACGTGTCTTCCTTCCAGCACCACCAGTGCTGAGAAAATACGGCCCCTTGAAAGGAGAAGGGGGAAAAGCTTCACACAATTCAGCCAGTTATTGGATTGCGTCTCAAAGACAGCGTTGGGAGGCGTGCGTTACATACCTCAGGGGCTTCTGTCAGTTATACCAATGCCGAATTATGGCAAATAAAGAATGCCACCGTAGTCATCGTGCCATTTTCTAATGAGAGTATTTCTACACGGGTCAAAAACACTCACACGGCTCGTGGATAAAATACTCGCCAACAAACATCAGTCAATCTGTAACTTAGTGAATGCTGGGAAACCACCTATTTAGATCATTATATCCGCATTAATGATGATGTATGTGTGCATGGGTTAGAGTAAGCAGACCTGGCAACTAGAAAGGAAGATTGCTGTAAAACAGCATTTGTTTGCAGATTTAATTAAAAGTTCAGACAAAAGGTAAGAGTATTACTGTATGACAGTTGCAAGAGTTGTTGAAGACGGTAAGAAATTGCTAGAATTTGCCTCTCTTTAACAGTCCAGAGCCAGTGACTTCAGAAATACATAATATCCATATCCCAAATAGTAACTCTTTGCCATTCTTAGACAAAAATCTTATGCCATTAGTCAAAAATCATCACTACCTATTTAAGCATTTTTACGTTCACATGCAATCCACTGACTAGTCCCTCTCCACAGCTGTAGACAAGTGTTCAGAATACAGAAGCAATCACTGTAAATGACATAACCTGGCTGATTTTTCCCAGAGTCTGAGAATGGCCATAGGCACATCACAGGTCTCGCTACTGCACTGCCTCTTTCCTAGCAGGGACTTATAGCAGCTACTCATGGAAAGAAAATAAAAACCAGGACAAATATAGAAAAATCTTCTGCCTACAAAGTGGTTCCCTACAGACAAGGCCAAGCTGACTAGGGTGGTAGGGCCATGAACTGGAAACATCAAAGATACCAACCTTTTTGCAGTCCTTCAACAGTACTGGGGGGGTAGAGGGTGGGAGAACTCATGGTGGCCCAAGAAGTAGCTTTATGCAACATTTCAATCCCAACTGCAACCTCAAACCAGGGTTTACCAGAGAGGTAAGTTCCGAATACAAAGTGGAAAAAGGAGTTGTACACAGGCTTGAAGGACTCTGAGTTCCACTACTAATTGAAGGGAGATACCCATGAAATGTTTTACACAAAAAAAGAAACTGGGGCAGTCATCAAGAGTCCTCTTAGTCAGCCAGGGAAATTTCTGTCATAATACATCTATTGTCAGTACTCCTGTATTCTATGAAGCAAAGTTAGGGTAGGAAATTCCTCATCATTTTTCAAACCCAAATGAGAGCTGAGCACAATATTTTACAAGTGAAAACTGTACTACCTGCACAGTCACATTTCCTGCTGAAAAGAGAGTAGGAACTTGATCTCTAACTGTTGCAAAAGGCAATGTTTACAAGGTACCTTTAAAGTCAATGTACTCCCAGATTAAAGTCTTGACTGTCCCATCCTAAGGCTCTAAGTCTAGAGGGAAACAGTGGCAGCTCAGATATCACTCTGCAACAGTTACTGCCAACAATTTAGTTTTCTAAAGGCAATAATTCTGGTTTTAGAACAACACAGAAAATTGCCTCTACTTCCCTGGTATGAAAACTTTGCCCCATCCCTGGAAGTGTTGAAGGCCGTGTTGGCTGGGGCTTTGGGCAACCTGATTTAGCAGAAGGTGTTCCTGCCCATGGCAGGGGGGTTGGAACTAGATGATCTTTAAGGTCCCTTCCAACCCAAACCATTCTATATCCAACGTGCCTCATCATAAATTATCTGGTAAGGATAAACCTTTTAGAAGCCATAAATGGTGTTGCAGGACCAATTCACTAAATCTGCCACAACATACTTGAGAGATAATTGAGATGTCAAGCCTCATCAATATCAACCTATTTAAAGGACAAAAGGAGAGGGGAAGAATGATAATGAATAATACCATTATGTGAAGCTAGTTAACATATAGCTTAGAAACAGATATGTATCCATCACCAGTCTGAATGTCCTTGAATTTCACAAAAGTCTGGACTTATAAGCAGTCTTAATTCCTTAAAAAGCTTCTTTCCATAGAAATTGATTATTTGTTGACAGAGTAGCAGTCTTTTCTTCCTATTTCAGCTTCCAAGATTTAACCTTTTTTTCCAACTCTGATGCAGGAGGTAAAATAACGAGTTTGGGCAGCGTACAGGAAACATCAGTAAAATATTATTTAAAAAAAATAAAAAAATCTCTTCCTGGTCAGGCAGAGGAAGCAAAGTGTCAGATCTCTCAAGAGCTCTAAGCCTCAGAGGAGGTTTCTGCCAATTTTCAGTGCTATTAATTTGTTCTCTGTGTCATTCGCAGTTATATGGTTGTATATCTCCTCCTAATCAATACACATGCATACACAGCCCACATTACTTTCTCATCAAAGATCCTGCATTGCCGTTATCATCCACTCACTTCAAGAACTGAACACAATCCCATTTCCTGTTGCCCGTCTATTCCTTCCTCCCTTTCTTTTTTCCCATTTCCCTCCCCCTCCACTCCTCCTTGTGATATCCCCCTCTCACCAAGTAGCGCCTTACTCTCTCCATCTGCTTCTTCAACCATCTGCTCACTCCTTCCCTTCCTCCTTGCTGGATAACTCCACAGTCTCTCTAGTGTAGCTCCATCGTCCCCCTGTAGCACCACTAAACCTCTTTTTCCTTTTGCTCTTCTGTTCAAAATTATTAAATACAGTGAGCTTTCCACACTAGGCCTTGATGGAGGGGAGGGTGAAAAATAAATATCCATGAGTTTAATAATCCTCTGCTTGACAAGCATAAAATCCTTTGTAAACTTCATGTTTCATACTGCTCCTCTGCATTTTATCCAAAATGCCATGGCCAAACTGATCTTCTTTCCGTGATGGGATGTTCTGGCCATTTCATCCCACTTCTTAAATCAACCTCATCAGCGATCTACGTCCCACAGGATTTTCAGATTCCCCATCTTCAGGTCCACTGCCCTGAGCAGCTCCCTCTTCTTGCCTGGCACCTGGAGCCAACCTCTGCCAATTCTGCTTGGTTTGCTTTGATCTCATCCCAAAAGCACTTCTGTGCCTTCTCCTATTTAGACACTCTCTTCCTGGAATCAGCTCTTGAAGCTGATTACTACTCCATTTCCCTCTTGCTCGCCCTCTCTATTCTACTCTGTCAAAGACTGTCATCTTTTCCACATACAAAACTAGAGAACCCTTCAATTCCTGATAGAGAGGGGAAATATTACATTTAAATACCATCAAACATCCATTTCCAAGCCTGTGCCTTTCTTCTTTCTAAAACACCTGGCTTTCTATTATTCATTTTATTTCCCTGCTTTGCTTCCTTTCACAATCCTTCACCTCCCAGTAGCCACATTATACATTTCTTTATGCCTAATCATTTCCTGTTCATCCTCTTGGTTTATGCCTTTTCTTTGTGTTTTTCAGTGAACATGGCAGGTTACTACCAGACCTTGTTCTGCCTGAGAACAGCCTACCTCATTCTGGGTGATAAACAAATAACATAGCAATTAAAATTCAGGAAGGCAAAATCAGAGAGATGGTGCTGACTTCCCACCCCACCCCCCACCCCCACCCCCGCTTCCCCTCTCTCATCAGCTACTGACATTTGGAAAATTTCAACGAACTCTAATAAACAACAAAAATTTGTCCCAGTTTCCTAAGAAAGTGAGGCTTGTATGATCGCAACCTGCCAATCAGTTCCATCCTAACCACTTTTGTACCCGTAAGTCAATATCAAACAAATAATACAAAGAGAGTAAGGACCCAGACGTTATCAGCGGTGAAGCAAAGAGAAACCCAAATTAGCATCTTCATTAACTGTGAGATGCAGCACCCAGCTGCAGCAGAGTAGTTTGGGCCGCCCATCAGTATTTGCCTGGCTTGGGAGCAGCCAAAGCACCTCTGGCACGTGGCCAGCACATGGTAAAGGGAGGGAGCTGGAAGCACTGAGGGGAGTACGGTAGAAGAAAGAACTCTGTAAAAGCCAGCTTCCCTTAGTTTCCCTGCTTACAGTGAAAAGATCAGGGTTTTAGTCTTGGATTATTTCACCTAACACCAAACCACTGGCCATTTCATCTCTTCCAGATCCTTTACCAGGATCAGAAGATCACTAAGAACATAACTCTGACATGCTAATGTCTATAACACAGATGAACCATTTTTCTTTTCGTTTCCCCCATCCAGAGAAGGAACAACATGCTGTCTACCTTTTCTGAATTATACTGGGATTTGCAGTCACCAGCTGGGTTTTCGATCCAACGTCCTTGCTGTATTCACTGGATAGAGGAGGAAGGTTGCACCTGTGCACAGAAAGACAGTCAAGATTTTAAATGACATTCAGGATTGACAGGCTTCAACCTCAGTCTTTTTTAATATGCAAGTTTGCAGGTGGTTTGTGTTGGTTTTTTTTGAAAAAAAGGCAAGCTGTCAGAAAATGGAAAAGTGCTGTATAAATACTAGACCAAGCTACAGACTTTCCCTACTGTACCACACCTATAAGCACAATAGGACATTTTTGTACCAGATTGGGGGGAAATGTAGAAATAAAACTTTTTGCAGAGATGATCCTATGTAACTACTAAGCAGAAACAAAGACACAGACTTGGCATTTCCAACAGGCTGAAAGGCTGTGGAAGAGGCTGTTATTATCTATAGCAAAGACTTTTTTTTTCCCCAAACTCTTTTAAAGTTCTGTTTTTCACTGTTGCCTTGTTTACCAGCATCAGGCTCCAGACTGTTACCACTCTGTGGTATTACAAGCATTACACACATCTTGCAAACAACGGGCAACTGGCATTTTTAATATTGCACTGCGGGGTATCTTCAGCGTGCAAAATTTACCAAGAAAACACAGAGAAAAATTTTAAGTGGCTATTTAAATATGTGCATCTCAGTTCTGCTCTCAGTCTTGTGCTGGTGGGTAGGGTGATAATGTAATAAAGAGAAAGTAACTAAGCAAATTTATTTTGGAAAGCAGGGAGACAAAACTCCAAAAAACAGTAGTAGAGAGAAACTTCCAGACAATGAACAGTCCTAAATGCTCCATAGTAAAGACCTAGGAGAAGGCAGGTGCAGTAGATAAAGATGAAAATATATTCCAACAGCATCCAAGCCTATGCACTGCTCAGGAAACTACAGTCAGGAGAAATCTACTCAATATGTAGAAATTACACCAAAAATTGGTGTCAAAACCATATTTTTCATTTCAAATTCATCCAACTTTCTAAATCAAAGATATGAAGAATATTTTTAATGCTTAAAGGCCAAAAATGAAACAAGATTCTCAAAGAAAAGTTGAATTTGGAATTTTTTCAGAACAAGACTTTCAGTTTTTTGTGTTGTTGTTTGGGGTTTTGTTGAATTTTTTTAAAAAGTTTTGGGCTCTTCCACAGCCAAATTTGCCCTCCAACTTTTAAGACGTCCCCATTTTCACGTGCTGGTACCATTGTTTTTCTGCAGCACGCCGAAAAAGCACAGCACAGAGGCAGAGCGCAGGAGGTAAGGAAAGGTGAGGGGCACGCTCGGGCGCCAGCCCCTGCCTCCTCCTGCTCCCAGCGACAGCGCACGCTCAGCAAACGCTGACCCTAAAGAAGAGCGTCAAGCAGCCCCTGGTTGCTTCCAGCTCTGCAGACACCCACTCCCATAGAGGACGAGGGCCCAGCACTGGAAGACGGTGGCCAGCGGCACAGAGAGTTGTTTCACGTTCACGACTTCTCCTCCCGGTACCAGGGAGACCAGACCTTTGCTGCTGGTCTTACACCTGTGAAGAGCTCCATCATTTTCCTCACCGTCTTCTCCATTAAACTCTGTCGCATGCCACTTCAGCACGCGTCTTCCAGGCAGCCAGGGTCAGTCATGAAACCCTTGAGTCCCATATGCTTCCGCCGCGCTGGGAAAGTCAGTGTCGTCACAAGGAAAGCCCTCGCTTCCACAGTAGTCGCTGCCTCCTTTGGCATTTTTGCTGACTTCTGCAGCATTCGGAGAAAGGATCTAGGTGCTTGCGACAGCAAAGTGCAGCAAACCAGGCTGCACAAATTCCTGGCTGCACCTCCACATGTCACTGCTTTGTGCAATACCAGTGCCCGAAGAGGGGACTAGTGTGCACATGGTATACACTCCCTGAGATGTTGGTTAACGCAAAACATCCCACATTCCCTAAGAAAAAAACACAGTGGTCCTAATTTTCATGTATTTGCATACAAATACCAGCTCTCAAAACCATATTCTTAAATTCGCATCATCAGGAAATGCCAAGGAGGACAGCAAAGTCCCACCTATATGGAACATAGCAGAATTCAGCCACGTTCACCAAGAAAAATAAAATCTCCAGAAACATTTTCTCCTTTTCATTACTATATTTGTTAAGATGTGCACAACGCATTGAGATCTCAGGTAGGAAACAGCTTCTAGTTTGGACTACCGCAATTTAAGATAAGCTAGACAAAAAGAAGCCAGAAAAGAGGAATCAAAATAAGAGGTTTCAGAAATTGCAATCATTGAGGGAAAAAAAAAAGAAAAAAGAAAGAGTAGAAGCACAGGGGAAACTTAATTCCCAGACATAAAGAATGATAAAACCTTAAAAATTGAAAAATGTTTACATAAAATTAAATAAATAAATACATAAAGGCAGCAATAGGTTGCTTCCTGCACCTGCACGGGGTAGGATAAAAATTAATCAGATTAATACCATTTGGAGAGGTTGTAGAAACCCTCTCAGCAGCAGTTTTCAATGGCAGGTCAAACAAATATTTGTGAAGCAAGATAAATAGGTGCTTTGCCTCAGAGCAGAGAGGCGGCATAAATGACCTCTGGCAGATTAGAGTTTAATGCTCTCTGATTTGAATTAACACAAACTCATAGGGCAAGCTTTTAAGAAGCCATTTTTGGTTGAAGTTTATTTAAAAGCACTATGAAGGACAAAGATATCTCCCTAGTTTTTATCATCTTAACATCTCAATAATGAAATTTCTTTCACAAGCCAGTCCCAGATGCATTATTTAAACACATCTAATTCCTTTCATCAGCAAGTCTCACTCCCACCTTGTTCTGCATAAAATATTAAGAAATGGCCTGAGTATGCAGAAGAAACTGGAAGAAATCAGTTGGTTGACAGACACTTTTTGGCCTTTCAGATTATTTTCTTGTACAGGTCAGCAGAGTGGTGAGTGTTGTGCAGGTGAGGAATGCCAAGAAACAAAAGACTCATCCTAAGAAACTTCTTTTTAATTATCTTACCCTTGCTCCTCGTACTGAGGAATAAGTACATGAATGTGCAGGAAAGAAGGAGGTACCAGGAGAGCATTTCAGGCCAGCATTTTTGACACAAGCCTAACTAGAAGAGTGGAACATATTGGCCTTCTACGTAGAAGACCAATATGACTTAGACCCAGCCTTTGGCGGGGCGGGGGTTGGAAATCATCAACAGGTACAGCAGTCCATGTGTGCCTTGTTCACATCTGAGACCTTCCAACTCAATAGGTAGAAACAGCCACAAGGGTAAAATGAGAGGGATCCTTCAACCCTCAGTGGGCAGAAATGGCTCTTCTGGGTTTGGCCCAGCCAGAAGTCCATGTCCCACAGGTGCAGAAAATCCAGGCAACTTGGCTGATGCATGTGCATTTGGTAGATGTATGTGACTATCTAGCTATTTTAGAATGTTGTATGTGCACATATACTAAACATTAGGGACTAATATGAATTTAACATGTAATTGCAGACATTCATTTTTATTCCTTTGTGGCACCTTGGCCAACGTCAAGACAATAATTGCATAAGGCAGCTGAAAGCCATGTTTCTCTGCTTGTCTACAAGCTCCAAAGTGCCACCACGTTTAACCTCCCCAGCTCCACCTGGGCTGGTATTGCCAGATGGCATGGCACAGCGTGATTAAAAGATAACAGCCTGGCCTCCCCAAACCAGGACAGCCACTAGTCAACTTGAAATAGTGACAAGTTGCTTCTAGTTTTGGAATCACTTCACCAGCAAACAGCTCAGAGAACTCCTCACAATCCCCTGATATTTTACAAAGAGAAACCCTCTCTCTGGGAGATGTACAAACCACAGCAAAGCCATGGGAAGCGGTTGGGGGAAAGGGAGAATTGTGAGATGTAGAAATATTTCTTCAAAATCTAATGCCAAGAAAATGTGTGTCTTCTGTCAAAATACAGACAAAAACATTGCTTAGGGTTTAGCACCCAAGACTTCTGTCTTAAGATAAGCATTAGCAGGAAAGGAGGGGGCAAATCAAAATTTTTTCTTAGAAATAAGGATTACAAACTTGAAAACCAGCCAGGTATCAGAAGAAGAGCCTATTATAACCACACTACCTAAACAAGTAGACCATATGCCATGCACCTTTTTCATTGCAGATGCAGTGTGCTATGCCTTAGGGGCTGAAAACTGCTGCTCTTTTAATCTCTATGTTGGTACAACTGTGTGTGTAGAAGATGCTCAGCAACGAGATGAGTTTAAACTCATTAATTAACCTCAGTGATTACAATATATCAGAGAAGATGGCTGCAGTCATATGACAGACCTTATGAAAACACACGTAAGTGAAATCAAAAACCATGTGAATGGAAGAAAAGAACAAGGGAAAAACCTGGCATGACATTTCACACTGCGGAAATACTTTAAAGATACTACACAAATTTCTTGGGGGAAAAAAAAAAAAAAACCACGTTATGCAAGTCACTACTGTGCTCTTTCTCTCTCAGCTCTTAGATTATAGAAATCAGATTTAGAAAAGATCAACTAAATCCTGTCTTCCACCTGCTATAAAAATATTTTCTCCCAGTGGTGTATTAGTTTCTAACCCAAAAGAACTGAAACATTTTCCATAAATATGACTGCACATCACTAATACAATGGAGCCTGCAGGCAGCTACTGGGATTTTTGCAGGATTCTCCCCATCACTTATTTCCAATTCAAAATAACTTCTGTACAGATAATGGTTGCTTTACCCTCCCTGGAGAGAAAAGGATTTTTCTGATCAAGCTATAACAACGGCTGTTTTTTTCAAAAAAGTTTCTATTGTTTTTGTAACTGATTGCTCCTGCAGCATTTCAATTTCCCATTGCATCTAGATAATATTACCACAGTATATACCCTGCAGTTTCTTATATTTAGTCTGTGGAACACCTAAGGAGTTTTGCAGTAATGGCAATCAGCACACTGCCTCTCTCCCCCTGTGCCTTACATCTTCTGCGAATGCTCTAAGTATACGTTTCCTTTTGCCTTTAGTTTGTTGTATTTCTTTGCTTTAACATTGAAGGCATTTTTGGTCTTTGAGATGCAAACCAGAAATTACAGTTTGGTTTGCAGCAAATTTGTATGGCTTTATAATAAGCCATCAGGATCTAATAAGGAGACTTGCTAAAGTGGGTGTTCATTATGCATCCACCTCAAAACCCAAAGAAACTTCATTTCTCATCTCTTTAGGAGCATTCCTCCAGTTTCTCCCCCACAATGTTTTTCTTGCTCATGTTTAACAGGGAGGAACTAATTTCTGTCTTTCTTCCTTGAAGAATGCAGACCTAGAAAGTGCCAAACTCAATCACAAAAGCAGTAGCTAGTTCAACATCCCTCCTGACAAGTTCTTATAACTTCAGGAAGGCTGGAGCAAAAGGAGATGTGAGGAATCTCAAAAACCTTGCATCAAGCAAAGAGGTTTGGCCTTTCCTCAGACAGTCAGCCAGAATTCAATATTGAGGGAAGAAAAACACAGGAACATTTTAGCTTGTTCCAACTTACTACTTAAGCCTTGCCCCATAAATCAGTACCTACTCATCTTGAGTTCAGTGGGTTGCATATGACGGCATTTAGAGTTGCAAAGGACAGAGCACATTGCAGGATGAGACCCTGCCTAAGATGGCATAATTAAAGAGAAAAGCAGCTCTTCAGTCCCTCTCTGTGATGCTGCACAATGTCACAACCTCAATCTATCCATCTACAGATTGCCCCCACACTACACACCCATTTGCAGAAGCCAGTCCAAACTCTATTGCCTCTCCTCAACTTTCACCCAAATCACTTGTGTAAAGCATCCTGCAAAGTGGTGGGGGTTGGGGAAACAAGGCAAATTATAATTGATTAATCTCAACTGAATAGCTTTGAAAAGTCCAAGACTTAGCAGGGGAAGGGGAGACAATGTGTCATTGAGGTTTCTGTCTTACCGCATGACAAAATCTGCTTGATCTATTTGTTTGCCGCAGCCGCTCTTTTTCAGGATTCCACCGTTTCCCACCACGGAGCATTTCTTCAGTGGCAGCTGGAAGGGAGTAGCCTAGCAACACAAAACAAGGACCAGTTTTACAGAAGAGAACACACACATCTTTGTAGCAGCCGCTCCTGGAGAACCCGGGGAGCTGGCAGGGCTCAAAGTGACGAAAGAAAAGGGTGAATTAAGAGCTATGGGGGGGGGAACAAAGTACAGAAATTAGCTGGTAAGTAGACACAGGACAGTTCTTATCCCCACTCCCCAAACCAGGACACAGCAAATGTGATACAGAAGATAACAACATCTCTGAAAAAAACAAAACTGCCTTAAGTCCTTATGCAGATACTGACCAAGCCAGGCAGTCAGGTCAGAATGAGCCTTCTAGCCAAGCTGCAAGGACACAGGGGAAATAAGACAAGCAGGGGAAAATAAAAAAAAAAAAAAAAAAAAAAAAAAATCCATGAAAGTGACCTTCCTGAGCTGATATACAAAAGAGAGCTCTGGGAAAAAAATGGAAGGAAGGAACAGGGAACGAGGTGATGACAGAACGGCGCTGGGATCAGGAGTCACCCTGCCTCCCTCCATGGCTGTGTCGCTGGGACGGGTCACTCCAAAGCCTTAGGCAAAGATATTTAGAGCTTGACAACAGCTCCTTAAACACTCAGCTGCCCAGACACAGCATAAATTAAAATTAGAAAGGGATCATTTTAACTGAGGAGCTCTTGTAGCCACTTAGCAGGGCATAGAAGTGCAAGGTCAAATTGTCATGCTATCCTAGACATCAAACGCAGTAATAAATTAGATCTGTATAGTCTTCTTCATTCCAGAGACTCTCAAAACTACAGGTGGGACATCTTCCTGTCAGCCCCAAGTCATTCACCTTTAGTGAGGTCAGGACAGTCATTTAAACAGCACACAGTGCATCAGTACAGCCCAGCATATAAATAAAAAAAAAAAAAAAAAAAAAAAAAAGGTGGTGAAAAGACATGTGAATTTAAAGCAGTGTGATTTCGTTATAGAATGGAATTTGTCTGCAATACAAGAGTTAATATTCTCCTCATGCAAAAAACTGTGCAGGGTTTTTTTATTTATCAAACCTGTCAAAACCTGACTTGGCAGCAGAAACAGAAGTTGCTGCACGTGCCTCCAAGAATGCAAATGCCACAGTGACAGGATGCATCGCAAAACAATTCTCCTCTCCAGGAGGACAAGGTAGAACGGTGGCAGCACTTGTCCTCACTTACATGTACAGAGCAACGTCTAACATTGCAGCATGTATTCACCAGGCATTGCGACGCTGTACATGGTCCAGGAAACAGACCCAGCGTTACAGCACAAACTCTATACTTGTTAAGACTTATATCTAACGTCTTATTTCTTTCCTTCCTTAGATTTATTTGCTTAATCTTCTTTTCTCAGCAAACTAGATGCCATTCAGCTAGGATAAAGCCACAACCTCCTTTCTAATAAAAAACATTAAAGCATTTTTCTTATCCTAACTCTGGATTAAGATATGCTAAAGCAGAAAAATAAATTTTACTTTCCTGAGGCCTGGCCACTGTTAGGAACCCAGTGATAGCACAGGAGAGCAATACTAAGTATGCATCTGCATTCTCATCCTGCATCTGCCTTCTCAAGAACATTTTTTAATTTACACAGTTATCGAACTAGGAGCGTATCTTGAAATTCAAAGGACATCTCATCTCTAAGGTGACCCTGACCAAATGAGAGCTCACATACGCAGTAAAGAGGGGCATGGCAGGGGGTAGAGAGGGGAATCAGAGGAAATGTAGAAGACATGTTTTACGAATAACAGTACCTTTCTTATTCAAGATATATCAAAGCTTCTGCCAAGACAGCTAGTTATACAAAGGCAAGGCTGTGACAAAGGCAGCAGCCACTAACTTTTGCTTTTAACAGTTGTGGACACTCTGTCACATAAATTCTGTGGCTTTAGCACATGTTGAGTGGCTTTAGACCCACAAAATAAACGTTTAGGAGTTACTGATTGCTTCAAAATTCTGTGAGTTGCAAACAGCCTTTGATATTGCTTGAGATGACTTGCTGTCCTTCAAGGGAGGCTTATATCCTGTTATACTCAAAGATGATAATATTAGTTGTCATTTGCATACATACTTTTGTTTCCAAAAGCACGTGAAGCTTTGAAACTCTTGTCTTTCAGAGAGTCCAACAAACAAAAGAACAAGATCAGGGCTGCCAGGGTGATTTGAGGGAGCCAAAGGAAAGAAGAAGGGGCAGACAGACTCACCATGGTGGTTGTCCCTCTGCCTAACCTGCGAAGAAATCCACTCACTCTATGGACATAGGAGGAAAACCAGACTGAACACAGTTCTCTCTGAAAAGCCACTATGCCCACAAGAGCCCACAGAAGCTTTTGCCTCCCCCAGCGAGTACTGAAAATTCAGGACATGGCACACACATCGGACAGACTCTACATGCCACCGTTTAGCTTAGGATGTTCAACCGATGCATTTTCCAGAAGACCATACTTACAAACTTTCTACAGACATTATGCAAAAGACCTAGTTCCAGTACCATAACGGGGTGGGGCGGGGGGGTAGTAAAGGCCTAAGGATTAACTGTCCCTGCTGCTTGGTGGCATTTCAGCTGTTTTGAGCTTAATGAAGAGCAACTGCTTAGGACGACCTGGGAGAAACCTGAATTTGTGATCTTGCACATGACTTTTCTTCAAACATTTAAATCACAGATCTGTATTGCTGCTGAGACTGCAGGGGCTTTTCAGGAACTCTGCCCTGAGCCCCTGCCCAAACAAACTGCCTGGTCATACGCGAATCACACAAGTCTTAAGCTCAAGTGTTACCCATAAGCAACTATGAAACATATGGCCCCTTTTCCTGTCTACGAAAGGCATTTATCTTTTCCCTCTTTCAAAGGAACAGGCTCTTCAGCTTTGAAATTGTTAGGATATCACGATCCTGTAATCTAGTTAGCAGCAGCATACCCAACCCGCTGCAGGACGTTAGTGCGATGGCACACTGCCCTCCCCTCCACACCCAAAGGATGCTCATGGGACAGACAGCACAGATAAAGGCACTTAGAGGCTCTTCAAAGCTAAAATGCTGTGGGCTTCCTTCTGTGACTTCCCATAAGCATTCAACTCATGCCTGCCTTTGGGCTGCCCAAAATAGGAGATGGAAACAGCTTAAGCAAAATGGCAACACAATTAACCAAAAGGTAGTTCCAGCCCTAACACAGCAGAATCACTCAGCTTGTTACTAGCTTTCCACATCACCCCTGGGCTTTCAAGATGTTTCTCTGCATCCTCTAGCTGTTCCTACTGCTAGCATGTCACGGTATGCACTGTGGAGTTGAATTTAATAATTAACTATCAAAACCTGGAGTTATTTTTTTCCTCTAAGGGTAAAAAACATCAAAGATGGACTCCGATAACGATTTGTTTCCTCGTGCCAAGTGATCTTACGCTATCTTCATGGTGTGGGTGATCTGCCTTCAGATTTTTTTTAATGTTATGTTGGGGTTGAAGGGGTTAGAACAATGCTACAATTTGCTCCAGGGTTAAACTAGTTTTACCTTTTTGTAAAATAGACTTGGGCATTACTTGTAGTTTCAGTACAAGGCAATTTTGAACCAAGAGTGTTATATTTTTAAGGTGATGGTGCTATTTGGAGATAATACGATATAGTAAACCCAAGTTTGCTTCTAGGTTTCTATTACTGGCAAAATACGTTTCACAGGACTTACAAAAACCTTCTCATGCTTTCCTTCTTTACCTCCCACAGCATAACTCTTTGCTAGGCAAATTGTCAGTTCATAGTTAACAGCATATAAAGTTCTCACGTTGTGGGAACCCAGCTGTCACTTATGCTAAATGCTCACAAAAAGCTCAGTTGTAAGCTGGCCTAACAAATGCTAGCTTTGGACTGTAAAGTTGTAACAAAAGCATTTCCATTAATATTAGCTTCCTGAAAGTGTTATTTTCATTATCAACACATTTGTTATTTTCTTCATTCATAAAATTTTAATGAACAGCCAGAGTCTTGTGGGTAGAGTAGAAAAAATAGTGCAGCATCATTTGATCTAGTATAATAGAGAAAATTTAAAAACAAATGACCAACTCATCCCCATTTTTAAGCAATTATTACCACAGAATTTGCAAATACTATTAACTAAAACCACCTTGCCTACTGGAAATAAGAGGGATAAATTCCCTTTAAAAGTAAGCTTCAAATAACTTTAAAAACGATTTTGTAAGGTGGTTTTTAAAAGGCATCTCCAAATAAAACCAAAGATGGTAGGCCCATTGTCTCATTTTCCCTGGCTAAAACAATGAAACTCCGCCGATAATCAATGAAGATGTTCTAGTTCATATTCATGTAAATGAAAGAAGAACCTGCATATCCCCCTGAGAATTCAATGACAAATAAGCACACAAAACAATAGATTAAAGACTCCCAATTGAATATGGGACTAATTTAACAAAGCGTCTATCCAGCAATTCACTGATTAGTTTCATCATTCATCTAAGTAGAAATAAATCCTTGTCATCAGTTAAAAGAACATTACACAGTACTAACAAAATATAATTTATTTGAGATAATGCTGCTCTAATTCACTTTGATTTCATTGTTAGGTTGTTAATGCATTAATTGTTGCCCACTCCCTGCCAAAGACTTTAATCAGCAACCAAGTTCTTACTGGGAAAACAGGAAAAATTACAGCATTCGGCCTCTGATTTAATGCCGAAGATGTCACAAACACTGAAAATACTGAGAACGCAAATTAGAAAAAAATGGTTTTTTTAAATAAGCATTTTGAATTTGCAAGAGATGCTGTGATTTTACTGTCCCTTTTGAGAAGGCAGCATCCTGATGAGAAGGGCGTTGTTCTACTGATTTTCCTAAGGAGCCAGCAAAACCCTGAGAGTTAACGATAAGCCAAATTCAGCTCTTAATAAAACATTTTCTTGCACCTTTGCATAAGGATGCAGCTGACACTTTGAAGGATAGCTCTCTGCGTGTCAGCCACAGGTAACGTGGTCTTGGTTTTTTACACTGTCAGACATG